TCAAACCCTACTGATAATAGGTTTGGATCCAATAACGACTCCCTGGCCGTCTTCTCTATTTCCTCATCAGGCACAATGGATTTGCAGGATATGTCGCCTACATACGGAAGCTACCCACGGACGTTCCAAATCAACAAGGCTGGCGATCTTGTTGCGATTGGAAATCAGAATTCTGGAACAGTTGTTATTGTGGCCAGAAATCCGACCTCAGGAAAGTTGGGAAAGAAAGTTGCAAGTGTAAAGGTTGGGCCTCAAGTGGCAAATGGAGATGGCGGCCTTAGCAGCGTGATATGGGATGAGTAGATTAGATGCTATATACAACCAGATCGTGGGCTCTTTAGAATATGGGCACAATTGGAGCGGAATTTTTGAGATAAAATAGAAGAATATGTGTTAATTCAAGCATACACCCTTCGTGGTTACTTCTCTAATTTTCTGCTGTTGTCTTCAAAACGTTGGCTGAGGTAGATGGTGAATCTCATGATTCTGTCCCGAGGAGAAAGAGATCTTATACAAAAGCCAAAATGCACATCAGAAGGCAGACACATCGATGAATAAGCTCCCTTGGGAGCCATCTGTCAACCCCCCAAAACGAAAATGTAATCGTTATCGGATCTCAGACTAAATATGTAATTGTGGCATGAGAGGCTGAAGGAATGTAGTTGGTACACGCGACTTATGTTGTGATTTACCAAGTAATAGATCCTGTGGGTCCGATGCAAATATACTAAGAGTTCTCAAACCTTTTACAGGGGCAGATAATATGGAATCAAGTAATAAACGCCATCGCAAAGGTCAAGGGTCTTGGTGTGATGGAATACAGGGTCGGGAAGAAGCCGAGAACCAATTGTCTGCATTGGCGTGTCTACACGGCGAGGGCTACAGTGGCGGATGCTGCAAAATAAAATTCCTGAAGCAAGAAAGTCTATATTGAAAGCGAAATAAAAGGGACTCCAATTGGATTACATATCACCTCCAACTAGACATTCTCATAACGCGTTATATACCGGCCGGCCAGTCCCAAGCCGAAGCCAAATCGAAGGCGCGAAGAGCGGTCTTCACGTCACTCTTCGGCTCCCCGAGCTAGGAGTTTGTGCTTGACTAAATATAATATTCGTTGCAGTTATGAATTTACCAGCCGTGTTCGTCGTGGTTGCCAACGGTTCTCACTTGTACCTTCATTCCATTATTCCGTGGCGTTGAGCACACGAGGCGCCCAGGCACCGGCCCGCAACGGCCCTTGTGCAACGGCATAAGTTTGCATCCCCCCCCCTAGTGGTCGAAGGGCTATATTAGCGTCAGGGACATTCACATGCCAACCAAGAAGATCTGCATCTCAGATCCAAGACCGTCGACTGCGAATTTCCACGAATGCACTGTACCATACTTAAAGTAATGCGCAATTGTCGACGATCAGGACATGCACTTACTCAAGCTTGCCCCTGATCAGATTTCATGCTGAAGGGTTCCATACCAGGACGAAGAATGCCTTCCAGGGGCCATCGCTCTTGTAGTTCTGTAAGAATGATAGACACTTTAGTTTCATCCCCCCCCCGGAGTAAATTAATGGTGGTGCATGACATTGCCGGAATCTCTACTGCGGATAAACACGAGGTTAAAGTCCGCGTCCAGGGTTCCATGAGCTACTTAGCTGGTCATAACGATATGAGGGCTTTATCGCTTTTATTCCACCTCTAATACCCATAAGAAATAAACTTCCGTACATCACGGGGTCATGTTCGTACAACGCTACAGATCGACGGTACTGCGCGAGGACGAACGTCGCCATTTCGGCGGGGTATTGCTTCCCGAAGCGGAGCATATAACGGGTGTAACGCCCTTCGATGAATACTTAAGCTTCTTGTCGATCGGTTAAAAAAGCTTACATGAGTGATCATCCCTCTGTTTCCCCACCAAAAGTGTAGACATGTTCTCAAATCTACGGCTACAACCGGCCCGCGCACTCGCTTTTAGCCTCGTTGCTGCGAGCTCTCTCGTCGCCGCTGGGCCCTGCGATATCTACTCTTCTGGCGGCACTCCATGTATTGCTGCGCACAGCACCACACGAGCCCTGTATAGCGCCTATTCCGGCTCACTATACCAGGTGAAACGCGGTTCCGACAATACCACGACCAGCATTTTACCGCTTTCTCCTGGTGGTGTCGCCAATGCCGCCGCGCAGGATTCCTTCTGCGCCAGCACAACCTGCCTTATAACTATCATTTACGACCAGTCCGGCCGCGGCAACCACCTCCGCCAGGCTCCTCCAGGTGGATTTAGCGGTCCAGAATCCAATGGCTACGACAATCTCGCCAGCGCCATTGGCGCACCGGTCACGCTGAACGGCCAGAAGGCGTACGGAGTCTTCAGCTCACCCGGTACTGGCTACAGCAACAACGCCGCTAGCGGCACAGCTACAGGTGACGCAGCAGAGGGCATGTACGCTGTCCTAGATGGATCACACTACAACGGAGGTTGTTGCTATGACTATGGTAATGCTGAAACCAACAGTCATGATACTGGCAACGGTCATATGGAGGCCATTTACTATGGCGACAGCACTGCCTGGGGTTCTGGTGCTGGAAGTGGCCCTTGGATCATGGCCGACCTTGAGAACGGCCTGTTCTCAGGAGTTAGTCCTGGCAACAACGCTGGCGACCCGTCGATCTCCTACCGGTTTGTCACAGCGATCGTTAAGGGGGAGCCGAACCATTGGGCAGTCCGCGGTGCCAATGCTGCGTCCGGCACGTTGTCAACATACTACAGCGGTATACGCCCAAGCGTGTCTGGCTACAACCCAATGAGCAAAGAGGGTGCCATAATTCTCGGTATCGGCGGTGACAACAGTGTCAGTGCCCAGGGTACATTCTACGAGGGCGTGATGACCACTGGCTATCCGTCTGATGCCACCGAGGCCTTAGTTCAAGCCAACATCGTCGCCGCCAAATACGCCACCACCTCATTGACCAGTGGCCCAGCACTCACTGTCGGCTCGTCAGTCTCTCTACGGGTCACCACATCCTGCTGCACAACACGCTACCTGGCACACACCGGTTCCGTTGTCAACACCCAAGTTGTCTCGTCATCCAGTACCACTGCTCTCAAGCAACAGGCCAGCTGGACAGTTCGCACCGGCCTCGGTAACAGCGCCTGCTTTTCATTCGAGTCAAAGGATACCGCCGGCAGCTACATACGGCACTACAACTTTGCACTCGTGCTCAACGCCAACGACGGAACCAAGCAGTTCCGCGAAGACGCCACCTTCTGCCCGCAGACCGGCCTCAACGGACAGGGTAGCTCAATTCGATCATGGGGTTATCCCACTCGCTATTTCCGCCACTACGACAATGTGGCCTACACTGCTAGCAACGGCGGGGTTCACTCGTTCGATGCTGCCAGTTTGTTCAACGATGATGCGAGCTGGGTCATTGGCACTGGCTTTGCTTAAGGCCTGACACATCTCCTACCAAAGCATTGGCGCATCTTCTGTCTCAAGCATCAAATTTTATGAAAGATATTCTTTCCTTGACTCAATTGCTGACGTCGTGCTGGGGTAGGAAATGGTCCTCATAAAAACGCAGTTCATGTTACAGAAGTGGCACTTTTGTGTCTTCAGTATGCGAAGAAGCTACATCACGTTCGTTAGCCTGCTTATTTATAAAACAAGAACACATTTCAGTAACAGTATAAATACTATGGAATATAACCTCGTATAATTTCTATAATCAGAGTAACAGTGGCTACAAACTCCCATCCGTGTCAACTGAACCCATAGGAAGGCAACATCTCTTTATTCGGATGGCACTTGGTGGTAGGGTAGTAGATCAACCTGACATAGAGTATCTGGTTCCGGTAGAGTTCCATTCACACAGTATGTTGCAAGGTGCTGTGTTGCACATTTTGACACAAGATTGGCAGATGAGTGTCCGTATCCGTTAATCTCCAACACAACGCCATCCTCGAATATAGCACTCGTGTTATATGCTGACTGCGGAGGAGTATGCCCGTCGAAAGTGTTGGTGACAATCATCATAGGGTAATTCGTCGCAAGGTTCTCCAACACACCATCGTATCGCTGTTTATTATCGAGCTTCCAAGTCGCGCAACTCATGGCCGTCAAGGACGACATATCTCCCATGACACAGCTAGTATTACGAAGTCGGTCCAGAGCTGGCTGTAGCTCCTTGAGGCTATCTGATCAGTCAAAGTGTCACATTCGTAGTCCCATGTAGTGTTGAGCGAGATGCCGTCACATGGTGCCCATTTAACATTTCGCGGATGCAGGGGTACAGCGGCATAAAGGCAAGCCAAACTTGAGAGTAGATGTAACTGTAGCATCTTCGGTCCTCTTAGAGGATTTGTTTCAATTGATTATATTTGAAGGGCTGATGTGCCTCTGGCCTTCGATGCGGAAGACATGTTTTTATAGCAAATTTTAGAGCTCCAAAGAATTCCTTTGGATTTCCCAAGTCCTGCCTGGAGATTGTTTAGAATGGAACAAATCGACAAAAATTAAAGATCGATGGTGACGTGGGCGCCAATTTTAGAGTTGGGGGTCCAAATTTGCTTGGCAGAACCGCCCCAGTGGTACATTTCGCCAAATATGGCTAAAATATGCTCGGCTTTAGCCCTACATTTCGCCAAACGCGGACAGTCCCGCCTTATAAAATAGGATTTCGTGATTTACGTGCTGGGTCTATATCATTGTGCACAGGCATAGCCTCGTAGGTGTTTATTTACTTAGCATGAGTAAACTATCAGTAAGCTGTCGTTGATATTCTCTGGTTGTTGTGTTAAGGTCAAAATATTTGTTCGTTACAACAACATGATAGTTGTTGAGGCTGGCTTCAAAAAAAATTATGGTTGTTTTGGTCTCCTTATGTAGGTAGGAGAGATGCGTTACCACCGGGAGCTTCGACGGTGAGTTCAACTACCAAAAAAATATGAGTACTCCAAAAAAATATAGTGTTCTTAATCGAGGTGATCCTCGACTCGCAGATTGCGGCTTCTGTGGATCGAACACAGTGCCTCCAGATATCGGAGCTGAAGTTGTCTTCAGTCTGGCGCTCTCCCAAGTGAGCTAAAGCCGCCTTGGTGTTAGACGGGAGATTATCGGTGTACATAACATGAATATCGTCAAGTTCAATGAATAAAAATCATTTTATCTAATTTATATGAGAATTTCGATATAAACGGAAGGTACGACTGTGAGTAATTGCCAAATCCGTCCAACAATACTTCGAGCATCGCTCCTTCCCATAATATTATTGTCCCCGCATACCGTAGTATTAATAATCGACGGCACAAAATACCCAATAAAAAGTTACGGGAATATTTCGGGCTGCACCGAAAGACGGATACCCGGTTCGGGAATCCGTCAAGGACGCGGCGACTGTCACATATCACTTTTTGGAGGGGGGGGGAGGCGGTCTGGAGGCTGATACGACCCAAGCTCCAAGTCACAACCACAGTTACGACCTAGAAAAGCCCTATGTATAGCCATCGTGAAAGTTGAGCTGTGGGAAATCAAAACTACGATTGGATGGTAAAATATCGCTCAGCACACAAGGGCAACCGGGGAGTTATAAACGCGTAAGTTGTACGTGGTGTGGGCGTTAAATCAAGATTTTGGCTTCCTGTGTAATGTACACCGAAAATGCGCCGTGAGCCGTCCTCGCTATATCTTACTCAAGTAGGGGTCCCTCTCAAGAGTATGAAGCCGTAGGAAAAGCACACAAGCAGAGGAGGTTCAACACCCATGATCCGATCCAGCCCGATCCAACAGCCCCCAATTTACTTCCTTGGAACAGAGATAGTAAGCCAAGGGAGGATATAGAGCATGTACTGTCGCATCGGGCGGGATGCTCGATATATTTGGTCCAGGCTGTGCCATCCTTACAGAGTGTGATCCCATCAGCTGCATGCAGCCTGTTTCCGCATAAGCTCTCCTGCATATCACCCTGGCCGCGCATCCTTTAGAGATTCGAAGATTAAGTCTTCATCTGACAGATCGCTGGGTCTCTCAGAAGGAATTTGATGGTAAGGGGAGCTGCGATGTGATACAGCGAAGTGAAGTATAGTTGCCAGTTGCCAGTTGCCGATACAGAAACTGCACTGTGCACAACATGTCCAGTGCGAGATGAATGTGAGACAAAAGAGCTGGATGTTGAATATCAAGAGTACTCTAGCATCGGCGAGCTGGAATACGGGGGGAAGTACTACCGCACTGACTGCTCCTACCGTACTGACTGTACTGTGCATCCTCACCCCCACGTCGCCCAGTAAAGGAAAGCGCAATGCTCTCCTGGCCGATTACAGGTTATTGTCGCCACCACCGCTGAGGGCTGAGAGTCTGTGTGTATTTATGTGGTCTCTGTGGTCTCCGTACAGAAATTCTGGGGCCAAAACTCGCGCTTCAGTCAGTCATCTTGCCTCGGGGCTTACGAGTAGCGGCCCGCATGTCTCTGACGAGGCTGGCTATCCCCATCCATCTCCAAGAGCCAGTAGGCGTCCCACGCCACATCACAGGCACCCAATCGCTACTGGCCAGCGCGCCCCTACAGTCAGAGACATGTCCCCAGTGACCTCGCGACAACTCATCTTCTATGTCTATTGCAGATTCACAAACTGATCTTCACGTCATCCACGCCTTTGGTTTGTACTCACGTTTAGGCGCGGTGGTGGAGGTGGCGGTGGTTTGCGACAGCCCCAACTGACCTGCGTCTCACTTCGACTCCCCGCCCGCGGCCAACCAAGCCGGTTCCGACAATCACTACATTGACGTCGCACCACTCACTCGAACATCGGTTCACGATAAACACACTCTCGTCGTGTCCCCCGGCAATGAGGGAGACGATCGTCATGCTCGGCAATCTACCCGGGAGCCCTCTGGACGGGGAGCTCAGCCCAACCTTCGACGACGACAACCATAATGGTGTCAGCCTCTTCGGCGAACCATCTGATATGCTCGAAAGCGGGGAAACTCAGCCTGCGGGGCTTGAGATACAAGAACTGCCACCCACCCCAGACGAATCTACGCCATATCCCATGAGCGACGACGAAGGGGGAATGCTGTCAGATGGCGGGGTTCAGCTGGATATCAGTCAAGCTCATACCGAGTCCGTTGATCTCGACACAGATATGGCTCCGCCTGAAGCCGAGGAAAACTCCAGTTTACTCTCAATTCCACAAATCCATGCCATCTCGGAGCATGAGACCTCCAATATTGCCGTCGGATTAGAGTCAGACACCATGCAACCCTCGTGGCCACAGGAACCCGGCCCTGGTGCCAGTGCGGTGGCTTATCAGATTTCAAACCTATTAGATGAGATATCAGGCTTAACACAACAAATACAGCATACTCAGCACGAGCATCCAGAACTGCAGCATATAGAGCAACAACTTCATGACCTGCAACAACTTCAAACCTTGGAACACATCCAAGGCATGCAAGAGCAAGGCGAACAACCAACGGTACCACACGGGGCGGCTTATGACCAAGGTAATTCACTTCTTTTTTATAGTCCTGTGCTTTTTGCTCCTTCCTCCAGTACTGGAAGCCAACTTGTCCATGCAGGTTCGATGCCTGCCGTATCCATGCCTCTCAACGCGGAAGACTTGGGTGCTGTCTCATCACTCTTGGAACCTGGTGGCCAGGCTTTAACTCATATTTCGCACGTTTCTCCACCAGTGAATACTTCAACACAGTCTGGTATTGCTGGCATCTTTGAGGTCATGAATGGCGTTGATATACCTTTCAATGTTCCTCCAGCTAATGTCGCACAAGTCGAAGTTTCACATGACAACATGACGCTATCCGACTTCCTGTTCCGCTGGAGCCTCACTATCAGATCCGAATCGAGGAAGGCAAACAAAGGTCCTCGATTAGAGCGTTTGCGCGAGTTCGGAACATCCATGCCAACTGAAATCCGAATGACGGATTTACGAGGCGAAAGGTGTGATATCCAGGGGATAAACTGGAAAAAACTGGAGGTCAAGCGACGAGACGCCAGGAGGATGCGGATCGCGAGTTATAAAAACTTTCACAACTTAACCCCGCCACCCTGGCTGCCGCATGTTCTCAGCGACTCGTATATCCAGGACGACAGCGAAGATTTCTTCAAGTTTCGCCGGATGAATTTTAAGCACAAGATGGACCTCCCTCACTTTCAATTGCGGAACCTTGTTGCCTGCACCTCTAGGAATAACGTTTTCCTGACCGGATCATATCGCGTGATCCAGACAAATCCCAATTACGGACAGCGTTGCATTGCAATGAACCTTTCCGAGCCAGAAGTGCAGCGTACGCACGGACCGGCCTGGGGTGGCGTTCAAATATCGACTCTTGCTGCCAACCATGGTGTTCTCATTGCCGGCGGCTTTCACGGCGAATATGGCATGAAGGCATCGAGTCGACCGGAGTCCAAGCACATCGAGGGACTTGTTGTAGATCATCCGAACTGCATAACAAATCACATCCAAATCAACCTCAATCGGCAGAGCGGACTTCCCCAAGCCGTCATCGTTTCAAATGATAACGGAATCCGCACATTAGACTGCACCACCAATAAGTTCACAAGGTACCACCACTATGAACATCCCATCAACTGCTCGGCCCAGAGCCCGGACCACCGACTTCGAGTGCTTGTCGGAGACAGTTGCGATGTTATGATCTGCAATGCGGAAACAGGAGAAATTCTTCAGAAGCTCGAAGGGCATTGTGACTACGGATTTGCCTGCGACTGGGCGGATAACGGATGGCACGTCGCAACCGGACACCAGGACAAACTAGTCAAAATCTGGGATGCCAGGATGTGGAAAACAAGCCACGGAGAGGCTAATCCATTGGCAACAATTTCCTCGACAATGGCCGGCGTACGGAGCTTGAAATATTCCCCATTAGGGAGCGGAAAGAGGGTGCTGTTAGCATCGGAACCTGCAGACATCATCTCAGTCATCGATGCTGAGACATATGAGTCAAAGCAGACGCTCGATCTGTTTGGAGAAATTGCTGGCACCGCCTTCTCCCCAGATGGGCAAAGCATTTTTGTCGGCGTACACGACAACTCTAGAGGTGGGCTCATGGAGTTTGAGAAGTGCGGATTTGGTCGATCATACGAACATGAAAGCATTTTCCGGAAACGAGATCGCGAGGTTGACATGTATGATAGTGAGGAGGTCGATGAGGACATGGAAGATATGGCGGCCGGGCTAGACTGGAAGAGATCAATGGCGGATGTGGTTGCTAATCCCAAATCTAAACGCACCGCAACGCATCGACGGAGACGAGCAGCCAGACTAGGGGATCTGGAGGCTTACTGAACTGGAGTTATACATACGGGAGGCGATGCAAGGGAGAAGGCGCCGATCGTTACTGACAATAACGATTTGGGCGATACGATGCTACGACACAATAATTTTTTCGCGATATCACAATCATTTTAATCAAGGGCGCTTCAAGGTGATGATACCAGGGAAAGGCATGGGCATATACGGGGTGGTGGTTGGTGAGGCTTAGCATTTTCCGGCGTTTTCAACAACTGGAGCACAATGGCTGAGGGAGCCCTAAGGCATGGGCTACTTGCTATTGTTCTCTACATGGGATATTTTGGTTCGACGGGGGTAAAATAACTCACTTAAAATAATATCAATTTATGACGAGTAACTTTTCTACTATTTTGCTCTTGATATAGAAATTAAATTTCTTGCCTGATATGTTAGGTGTGATGTCGGCGGCGTCTTCCCGACGGGGTAGGATCACAAAAGTATGGTCTAGTTGCACCCCGTTTTGCTTGTACACACCCGCATCGTGACCAAAGTCGCGCCCACTCTCCTTTTAGTGATTGTTCTTTCTTATTCATAGTCAATGCGTGCCTCTGCTCTTTCACTGGTCAATTTGACTGTTCGCAATTCGCTATATATACGGCCAGCTCTCCGGAGGTTCCCAATTCAACGGCGCGGCCTCACCAATAGCAACCTGCCCTATCGAGCTCTTTCCAAGACAACGTATGTAGACAGAAGCTAGCCCTGCTACTGCCCGATACCCCGCGCCCCCCCCAACTAACAGAGGACAGGACAACATTACCTTCCA